CTCGAAAGAAGCAACATGGGCCCAAATCCTCTTAGGCTTTTTCTTAGCATACTGACCCCTACATATGGGCAAAATATAAGCAAAATCGGCGTGAATCACTTGAAACGGTTCCCTCGTTAGTTTATATTTTTATAATTAGACGGACAAGTTATACAATTATCTCCAACAATACAATCGCCACTTGTTACCATTGGTGTAAGTATATTCTCATATTGAATAAATGATAAGATATCTGTAGTATATACAATCCTGAATAAAAGTAGCTGCCTTTGATGAGGTGCCACTATTCACAATGACATTGAACTGATAATTTGAGTATGTGTCCGACAATCAGTTCTGATTGCAAGCAGCAACTCGCCTTTTATAGATTTACATGTATTAGAGTTGTGATTTATACATCTTTTTTTCCCTTGTTCAAAACATATTCAACGAAGATAGTCCCATACGTCTACTTTATTATCATCAAAGTTCGTGAAGTATACTCAAGATCTTAGCAATTAGCATGCCTTGAATACAGTGAGTTGATGTGCTACCGTTAAAAGCGACTTCATTCAGTGTAACAGTTCGAAAATTTTTCAGAATAGACTTATCGTCTCACGAGAAGTTTCTACTAAAATTTTCAAATGAATTGATCAAAGTCATCGCGAATAAAATTCATCTTACTAAAGACCAGCATTTGTTCTTCAACTGAGTCTTAATGAGAAGACAATATCTTAGTTATTGTAAAGAGATTTCTAACAAAATTCGGACTAGAGATAGCTACGATATTTGAGCTATCGAATGAAGGGTTGAACGAAAATATTTGTACTAACATGATTGAGATAAGGTGCAGTGTCTGACATGGGCTAATTTTTTGTGACTCCATCCAATCTGACCTAAGGTCGAATAAATTTTTCGCAACCCGACCCGATCCGAGTCGGACACTGATAAGATGGGCATAAAGCGAAGGTGATATCTGAATCATAACTCCAATAAATGTTAACTGATGAAGGGCGGAATGGTAATTGTGATCAGAATTTATTGTCGAACGCATGCATTCACTTCATGGTTAGTAGGTGTTTTTGTCCACAATTGTATGTCTAGAAAGATGTATTCATTTTGTGAATCATATTTTCGTATAAAATCTTGTTTTACAAATAAATCAGTACTATAAATCTAATAAGTATAACTTATTGTCGCAGACATATCAATACAAAGTCTCTCAGGATTATTCTACTCTCATAAATTCCTTATTTACGCCTCAAAGACGAGTTCAAAAGGCAGATACTATGTCGTAAATTAAGATAATAAAAGAGCCCATGTTGGATTATTGTTTTCTAAGCGCGAACTTGCCTTTTACGACTTACAACAATTGTTAGTAACAATATCTCTATATGCTTTTATTTTATTTCTAGAATTCTGGTCAACAATACGCAGTTTTATCTCAGCAAAATCAAATTCAAGCACCAGCTCAATATATTCAAATAGCTGCATCTCAAGTGGCTGAAGTATAAAAATAACTTTTTTTTGCTTAATTTTATTTTAAATTGGTCTCTTTCCAGAATATGCATCAGCAACAACAACAGCCAACAACAGCACCGGCAAAAAATGTACATGTGTCAACAACACCAAATGCCATGCAACCACAACAACGTTCTACTACATCAGCTCATGTAAGATTTTATTCTAACCTTGAAAAAAAGTATAGAAAAAGTTTTCTCCATTTTTATTTTCAAGATTACCATAACAGCAGCTCAATTACAACAAATATTAAATGCTTCACATAAAACTAATAATAATAACGCAATAACAACAACAACAACAAGACCAATACAACAAATTGATAATAATAATCAATCATCGGATCAAACAACTACAGTTGATATTAAACAACAACCTGTTTAATAATTAAATTAAATATTAAAAAAAAACATTCGTTTTTTTTTTCAATCTTTCGCGTGCCATTTTTCTCGAAGAACGTGTAACTTTGATTGAAGTTGGATAATGCTGTGAATTTTTCTTTTCTTGTTTTCTTTTCTGCTTCCTATTACTTTATTAACATAATGTTGCATTTGGACAACATTTTCTTATGTAGATTTTGTAAAATGATTGTTTTCAAGTTAACTTACCAAGAAAAAAAACAAAAACAAAACATAGAACTTAAATAGATAAACTTCTTTTTTTTGTTTCAAGATATTAGTAAAAAACAAATGAATATAATATGTCGTACTATTCTTTCTTCTCTACGGACTCGTACAACAAATCGATTATATAAAAATCCCTTAATAACAGGTAGAATACGAATTATAGGGTGAGTTTTGGTGAACAGGAAAACATTGAAAAGAAAATTTAAAATCAAACAATAAAATCTTTGAAAAATATATTGTAAAAGAGGCGAATTGACAACTATTGTTTTTCTTTTTGAGTATTGTCTTAACAAAATTTTGAGGATTTGCAAAAAAAGCTAGAACAATTTTCCATAATTGAGGAATATTAATTTCAAATATATGTAATCGAGTTCAAGAATCTTCATGTTGCAAACTGATATATTTGGTTTAGATTTTTCTGCACCGAGAGAGAGTATATTGCATATGTAAAAGTAATGAATTGAGCTGCAAATCAAATTGATGCTTTCAGAAAGAGGATATACAGTTATGGGACGTTTCAAGCAAAACAAGACATACCCATCTTTTATTTGACTTTGATTGTTTATAAGGATCATTTCCTAAATAATTTTTTTTTAAGCATAGACATATGCTAAAATGTTGGCTCTTTCAGCTGACTATTCATCAAAAGTCTCTAAACATATGAGAAAAAATTTGAAAACTTCACGGTAGACTTGACGTTACGAACCATATCTATGGTGAAACTTTCAGCAAGATCATTAAAAATGGTCTTCTAGAGGTCCAATAAAGTTTTGAAACAGAATTTTTTGTCTTACTATCATCTAGAGATTTTGAAGAAGGATATATACCGTGTGGCATTGATTTCGAACTTCTTATTCGGTTATAAGAACATTTATCTGTACTTCGTCACGTAGCTGACGTAAAGTAAATCGATTTTTTTGTGAAATCTAGGCATGCTCAGAAAAAAACACGTGATAGAAATTTTCTAACCTCAAGAGTTACCTACAGAATGTAATAAATTACCTAGTTTTAAAAGCTGCTGCCTCATTTCGAAGTTTTTCTAAACTAAAATGCATAAAGTAAACGTCGACGTGCTTTTTTGTATCATGTCGCTACCACTAGGTTGTAAATGATAGTTTTTCTGCACAAGTCTCTAGCAATGATTTTATAAAAGTACCTAGGATAGTTTAACATATATATAACATATAAAAATTAGCTCTAGAAGAGTTCATAATCTTGAGATACATGTGTTTTAGTTTTGTGAGGTTGCATCGTTAACAAATAATCGGGTTTATATATATTAATAAGACATGTCATTTCATAATCTGAACATTACTGAACTTGGCTACGTTTACTGATAATTCATTTTCTTCAGATTTGAACAAATTTTAGAAGAATATTTAAATGACATCTTCATTACTGTCTTACATAATAAAACTCTGAGTCTAATTACAGGTTCATTTTTTTGAAATAATTTAGAAGAAACTGATTATTTTGATGATCAACACTCAGACTTGAGAATGTCAATTGTTTATTGTAATCTTGTTTTCTTTTATATAAACGCAAGATCGACTTGTTTTGAATGAGTGCACGCTATATTTTGTTTCTTGGAAGACGATTAATAAATATAGGAGCCTATAGTAAAGAAATGGGACCTGTCGATTGATATGGTTTTCTGTATAGATTTCATCTCTCGGAGAGATAATTTAGAACTTCGACAGAGCTAAATCAATCTTCGGAGGAACGCCGCTCTCTCGGCCCCCACAATAATATTTTAATTATATCTTTTCGGTGTTTTTCAATCGTGTCATTTAATTCATTAAGTAAAAATATATTAAAATTTATTCTTTCATAGCTGTACGATATCATGGTGACTATGAATGGCAAGATCCGAAATCAGAGGATGAAGTAGTTAACATTGCTTTTATTAGTAAAGATGGCAAACGTATTTCAATACGTGGTAAAATTGGTGATAATCTTTTATATTTGGGACATCGTTATGGTATAGAAATAGAAGGTTATTAAATAAGAATATTTTTTTTTAATAATATACAATGTTTGTTCACTTCTCTTTGTTTTTCTATTGAATTTTAGGGGCTTGTGAAGCATCGTTAGCTTGTTCAACATGTCATGTTTATGTAAAAGAAGAATATCTCGATAAATTACCTGAACCAAAAGAAGAGTGAGTAAAAAAAGAAAAAAAAAACTCCATGGGCGGCGCATCGATACTGCAAAGACTAGCGAAAGTATTTGGAAAAGTAATAGAGTCTTACTGCTTCCGCCAATGTGCACACCACCTTTGTACACTATAGTATGATTACTTTACTTATAATTTCATGATATTGTTGATTGCTATGCTGATGAATACATTTCTTGTTGTTTATCGGTCTGTCCAAGCGTAACGCTGTGACATTTTGGCAAACTTTTTTTGGAAATATCTCGAGAACAATGATAGCTAGAAAGTTCATTCAAACGCCATTCGACGCAGCTCGACGAGTTCTATCTATACTATAAATTTGATGTTTTTTGGTTGAACTCTATAGTGTACAGAAATGGTTTATAGTCACGGAACACTGTGACATAAAAGGACCCTGAGTTTGCAACGCTCTGACTCATCTTTCAATTCTCTGCGAACGACGGTCTCCAATTAAAGTAGGCCTGGAACCACCTTTCTAGAGTATGAAACAAGCTTTCCAATGGTAAAAAAATTTTCCCCTAGCTCTCGTTATTCATATAAAAATGAAAAAAGAAAACGTAACGCTGTGACACTCTTTTTTGTCGATCAATTTTGGGTCACTTAACGTGCTTAGATCTATTTGATTTTTACAGCAATTGGTCTTTTCTCTACGTATAATCTCTGTTCAAAAAATCAAGTAGCTAAGGCGAAGCAGAAGCTCGTTATTAGTATGGAAAGTTGAAAACTCTACAACAATGTAAAATTTGTCTTCGGGAGTGAAAGTTAAAAATAAATACGCTATTTTGTAGAGAATTAAAGTCTGTATCGAATGGTATGATAATCAGACGTTTTCAAAAAAAATTTCTCGCTTGAGAAATTAAAAATACGATTTTTCAAAAGTTTAAAACACCGTTTTCGTTGCCAAAATGCGATTTTTTTCAAGAAAGAATATTAAATTCATAATCAGTGCAAAAAACTACATCTAATGATGCGTCGAGATGGGTCGATCTCGAAAAAAACTTTTTCAAAAACTTCATCACCGAAGTAGCGTGTTACGTGGACAAGCCGTTATATATATATCTGACATGGAGTTATTTAAATAATATACAATAGATTTTTTAATTATTTTTAACTTCTTTTGTGCAGGCTAACCGATATTGAGACTTTACTATTGGACAAAGATTGATAGCGTAACCGTAAATCAACTGCCATTTTTCTAAGATGGACTATTTGATACTTGATTACTTTGATCAAAAGAATAGAAGTCCAATTAATCCATATTTAAGGCTATTTCCGAATTGCGACCAAAAATCACACCTATTTGCGCCCTCACCCACATTGTCGGTCTGCTGATTGGTTTGATTTTTGGTCGCAATTAGGAAGCTACGATATTTAATGTGGTTTTTGTTTTCGTGTCAACAAAATTTACAATTTAGATCTTTGAATTTTGAAATAAAAATGTCTAAAAAAACAAGTATAGGTATTAAATACTTCACAATCAGAGAAAAGATCATCTAGCTGCAAATATTAAATAGTGAAATAAACAATCTGAAAGACATCACCTCCATCTTCTCAACTGATTGTTATGTCTTCAATTTTTCCGAAAAAAGAATAATTATTTAAATCTCAGATAACATCTATAGATGAATATTAAAGCAAGAACACAATAATTATTAAACGGAAGATAATGGACAGAAAAGCTTGAGTTTTACCTCAATTATTTTTTAATAATAAGCATTGTTATGCTAATATTAAGCACGTAATGCATCATCAAGTGTAATTATATTTAAGCTTTCAAATTTTATGCTTTTGAAAAAAATTCGATTTATCTGAAAAAATCTTTTGCTGTTGGATAAAATCACAAGTGGATCGGAGGGCAAATGAGCCTATTATAGAATTTATTGTTTTTCCTAAAAAAATTGACTTTGCGCCGCTCATGATAAAATGTTTCCGGTGAATATTTTCTATTTTGATTATTGTATTTTTCATAGAGAAGAAGATCAATTGGATTTAGCTCCTTTTTTAAAGGATAATTCGCGATTAGGTAAGTACAATACAATATAACATTATACTGTTCTGTATGAATTGATATCATCTATTTCTAACGTCCAATAATTATGGATTGCCTAAACTCTGTCTAATCAGATTTTTCTGTTGTCAGTGAAATACTTTTTTTTGTACAAATCTTCCAGAATATATTGTATCATACATGTTAAAATGATTAAATCATTTCTTGTATTTTAGGTTGTCAAATTATTCTAAAAAAAGATCTTGAAGGCGCAGAATTTAGTTTACCACAAGCTACTCGAAACTATTATGTTGATGGTCATAAACCAACTCCACACTAAATAAAACTTGCTGTTTTGTTTTTTCAATAAAGTTTATATATATTTATAAATCAGCAAAAATTAGAAAGAATTAGATGATTCTATCTTCAAAAGTATATTCCCTTGAAAAAAATTTGTACGAATTTTTTAAACATCACTTAATTATTTTTGCTAATATCTAGTGCTTTGTTCAAGACAATTAATATTACATTAGTCAATAACATGTATGGTTGTTTTGACTATAAAGATATTACTTTGCTCAGTCATAAAGTTATA